TAGGAATGAAAATCATATTTTAAGTCGTATAATGAATAAAAATATGCTACAAATAATAATATGGATTTTGACTTTCGTAATTATTCTTATAATAGTAAAAATTCTTATAAAATTAATTAGGTGCATTTTCAATGGAAGAATATTAAGTATTCGAGTGATGTTTAAGTTTAAAAACTAATGTAATTTTCTATTATTTTATTTTTTTTCGTATTACTTTTTCAAGTTTCCAAAAATTTAACTACGTTTTGAAGTATGATTCTTTAAATAAATCATTTTTTTTATATCAGTGGTAATATAATTATCGGTTTACTCTTTGTAGTTGTAGATGTAGTATTGTGACATAAGCAATAAACAAATGATTTTTATTATTAATTACGCCCTCAATAAACAGATTCTATCCAATACAGTAATATACAACTTAAACTTTGATTTGATGTCGCACCATACACTAAATCTTCAATATATAGTATATAAATATGATAATATCACGTTTCATAATAGCCGTCCGTGTTTTTGATATTTTATGTTTATTTGGATAAGCTAAAAAAAGTCTATTAGTATTTAAATTGTATACAGGAAGTTAGTCTTCGTGGTATAAACCAGTTATATATTTCACGGATCATTATCATCACGGCCCATCGTGATGATTAATGGTTTCCCGTGAGATAAGTTACGTATTTTATTGATCCACTTTATTATATCAATCATGTGTTAATAAAAATATCGATCTGCATGATCTTATTGGGCTGAAATTTAAAATCTGGATTACATATAGTTACTTTTTTTGGAAAAATCAACCTATCACTGTGCTACCAACAAACTCCATTGCGGTTGATTTTAGCCACCAACTGATTAAAAGTGTGTTACCCAAAATTGATACACAATTAGGGGGGTTTGAAAACGGAAATAATAATAACATAATTTCGAAATAATCTAGTCTGCTTAGTTATTTCATAACGTAAAATTTTATCATAGTATCTTAAACAATTTCTTAATAAATCTTAATTCATAAAATTTGTGCTTGTGTGCTTGTGATAAATTATTGAAAATATTTTTGCTAATTGCTAAATATCGACAGTGATTATTTACTGTTACGATACTTAGAAGACGGATATTTTTGAATTAATTATGTAAGTTTTCTAAAGATGTATTCTAATTCGTTGTTTAAAGTAAATCTTGCATTGAAAATAGAAAATGAATCAACCTTATTCTGCTTTATGGGATTTTCATGAAAATTGTTAACAATTTCTTCTATTTTATTTTCGATCGTCACCTTACAATCCGAACATAATTTTTGAGGTTTACTTCTAGTTCTCATGTTACTTAAATTGATTCTTTGAACATATGGAGTTCTATGTTCGTGATCATTTTTTTGATGACATTGTAAAACAATTATTTATAATACTAACGATAAATTGTTGGTTATCCAAGTCAAAATAGCGAAAAAACTAAAGAAGTTGTTTAAATAGAATACAACGAAAAAAGAGGCTTACATAATAAATAAAACGAAGTAAAAAGTAAAATCAAAAAAATATTTAAATTTTTGACGAGATTTTGCAAAGGTTATCCGAATGCAAATGAGAAAGAATAGTAAATTTCGTATTTCACTTTTCAGTTAGATGATTCAGAAGAAGAATTAGGGTTGTAAAATTGTATAATAATAACGATAAGTTTTTGTAAATTTTCTAAAGTAAAATTCGATAGGTCGTATTCCAATTCACATGGAACATTATTTAGGGCAAGTTTTGCGTTAAATTTAGAAGCTTGTTGGATTGCTTCTTTTGAAGGGTTTTACAATTTCTTCAATCTTATTTACTTTGTTAGAAACTTTAATCAAATGTTTCTTTACAATTATAACAGAGTTTCGGTATTTTCCCCTGATTTTTTTACCAAGATTTATTTTTGAATGTACGTATTTTGTTTATGCGACCATGCGACGTTAGATATTGCAAGTAATGAAATAATTTACGTAAATATTTTCATACCCTCTTTATAAAAAAAATAAAGTTACTAAAAAACGCGTTTTATATTGTGTTAGCGTTTGTTAAATCTGTACTCACGCCACGTCGCCACGTTACACCAATAAGTATGACAGAATATGAAATGAAGTTTTCCGATAAAAACAAGTATATTAAGATAAAATTAGGTGATTTGATTTGTGTTTTCTTGTGATACTAAGGAATAATATTTGTTTGCAAGAATAATTATCTAAATTTTTTGTATTATACTTTAATAAAATTTTCTTTTTTAAAAAAAAAATGTGTGATAAGTATGATCATTTTAATATATAAAAAGGAACTTGTGTTTTTGTCTACAAAAAAAACAAAAAAATTTCCTGTAAAAAAAGTTAATCCGTTTTATATTCCATATTTTCTCCAGAAGGCTTATATTCCCGGAATTAATAACCTTATATCACGGAATTTATCAAATTATTTACATTTTCCATGAATGAATCCATAAAAGACTCATTTTTACGGAGTTTTTACGGAAATAACGGATAAAATTTTTCATAGGAGTAAATAAATAAATAAAAATAAATAAAACCATGTTAGATAATTAAAATACGCCGAGCAAATTATTTATATTGACGTAAATTAATTTAGTTATTTAAATTAAAAAAAAATTAAAATATAAAAAAATTAAAATAAAATAAAATAAATAAAAAAATTTTTTTTTCACATTTGAATTTTTTTTTTACCCCTTGATATTTCTATAAAAATTTTGTTACATGAAGAGATACATAATATGATATAAATTAAATATCTTGCGGATTTGCTCATAATGTTTAATAGTAATCATATTGTTCTTGTGACTTTGACTTATAAAGCTTAACATTTAACAGAGGATCATCTCGATTATTCTCACTTGCGTCGCGCTAAAAACTCGAAAACGAAAAATTATCGTAGTACTTACTTATTGTAAAAATGATGTGATTTCATACGCCGAAATTTTTTAATATATGCGTATATATAATGGAAAAAGTTTATTGCTAGCTATCTCAACAACCATTTTAATAAATGAATACGATATGTATGTGATTATAGAATCTGCAAGAGAAGATAAGATGATCTTATATTTTAAAATAAAATAAAATATAATAAAAAATAAAAATAAAAATAAATAATAATAAATAATAATAATAATTCATAGTAATTGTACCGAAAAACCGGTCATTCAGTCATACAATTATTTCGGAACATAATAAAAAAAATGTATAAACTTATCATTTTTAATTAGGGAATATCTATTTGTAATTACAGTGGTGTGCAAAAAAAATGACAATTTTTTTGAGTAATGATCAGCAGGAATAACTTATCCGATTTTAGTCGTATCTACACAAATAAATATGCGTATGAAAGCCCCGTGATTACTTTATTTTTCAACGAAAAATTTTTTCCCATATATAATAAAATTGTATTTTATTAACCGTATAAAATGCCACTATCTAAGCAAGAAACTCAAAGACAAACGATATTACAATTCTGGAGGCAAGGAATACGTACTGCCGCCAAAATTCATTCTTTGACAAAGATACCACTTAGGACAATATATAGGAACCTTAAAAAAATCAAAAAAACCGGAGATGTGAAACATAGAGGTGGCAATGGACGTATTAGTAAAATAACGCAAAAGGCTGCTCGTGAAATTGGACAATATATTCAAAGAAAACCCACAATTACCACCAAGTTCATTGCTGCCAAATTGGAAGATGTTGGTGTTAACGTCTCTCGCTCAACAGTTTCAAGGTATTTGACCAGTCACGGATACAAAAATGCACTCCCCCTTGCTACACCAATGCTTACTCCAGCCCATAAGCATAAACGTTGACCAGACACGGATACAAAAATGCACTCCCCCTTGCTACACCAATGCTTACTCCAGCCCATAAGCATAAACGTATTGAATGGGCACAAAATCACATGAATGATGACTGGGCAAAATACTTTATTTAGTGATGAGACAGCTTTCCAGCTATTCCGCAACACAGTAAGGCATTGGTATAAAAAACAACGGCCAATTCGTCCCATACCAAAAGACCGAAGTAAAATTTTTGCATGGGGTGGTTTTTGCATAAGAGGTAAAACAAGTCTTTTTTGTTTTAGGGGTATAATGGATGGAAAATTTTACACAAAAATATTAGAAAGACAAATTCCAGAGGTGTACAGTATGTTAGGAGATAGTTGGCAGCTGCAACAAGATAATGATCCTAAACATACTAGTCGGGTTGCTAAGGAATTTCTCAAAAATAATGTCCCAGAGGTTATGGACTGGCCATCCAATAGTCCAGATCTAAACCCCATAGAAAACCTTTGGGCAATTGTTAAGAGAAATACAGAGTTGCGTAGACCAAAAAATCTTAATGAATTAGATGTTTTTTTGCATGAAGAATGGGTAAAAATTCCAAATAACCTCCTAATTAATCTTGTAAATTCAATGCCGCAACGTTGTAGGGAGGTTATTGACAGAAATGGTGAACGAATACCATATTAATTTTTTTTAATAAAGTCTACTATGTTTTAGCTTTAAAATAAAACTTTTTATTTTTTGATTGGTTTATTGGTTAAAAAATTAACGTGACTTGAAAAATTGTCATTTTTTTTGCACACCACTGTATATAGTGTATTTTATAATATATATGTGATCTATATCGATATTTGAATCACGTGATCACTTAAATATTATGCATACGTAATTATATTTATTATGCAGCCAAATAGGAGATTCGACTTGGACGACTTTTCCCGACGATCACTCTGACCATTTTTTTAGCTAAAGAAATATACTATTGAAACTATTTTTTCTACATATAAACCTGGTCTAATTTGTGATTTTTCGGACTCTACGCTCTTGTTTACACTATCTATATGAACAGAAACACTCGTTCCAAGTTTTCTCAAAAAATTTTAAAAAATATCGAAAAAACGTATCATTCTTCTACCGAACAAGAAGACATATATAGAACTTTCGCTCCTAACGTTATAAACAACAAAAATAGAAAAATGTCGAACACGTCAACAACTAACAATGATAATAGTCAAAAGACAGCCGAGCCTACTTTGACTTCACCCTCTCAACCTTCTCAAACTTCCTCCACCGTGGAGCAAGTCCCTGGGAATATTTCTTCAACAACACGTGACCCCACTTCCCACTTACCAAATACACCAATCGTTGAAACGATTGATGAAATGGAAATAGAGGTTACCAATCAAAATGAAACACAACAACTTGCAGAAGGATCTACGTCCATTAATGGCAATCCATCACTAATGGAGGAAATTCCCATGATCGACAACATATTTTCAGCCTCAAACACACAAATACAAACTTCTTTTGAAGGATTTATCCCACGAGATAGTTTTCCACCAAAACTTACAGACAAAGAAATTCTACAAAAACTTAACACCATCTTTATCGGAGACAAAGACTTTATCAAAGTCAGATCTTTGAAAAAAATGACGTTTAAATTTTATATGATATCTGTGTCGACTAAGGAGAAATTGTCACACCTTATCAAAACGTCACCTCCAACCCTTCCCAATGTTAAAATTTATGAATATACACAACAAAATATTGATACTCTAATTGAACGCAAACTCCAATTACAAGATGACACTATCATCAAAATATTAGATATCCCTATCAACTACGACGCCATGTTATTGATAAAACAAATAACTGACGCAACGGGAAAACGAATCACCACTTACAAAGAAATCAAAAAACCGCCTCAAAGAATCCAAAACCGCAACAATAATGATAAACCTATTTTTATCAGACCAATTTATAAACAATTGATAATCAGCTTTGAGGACAAGGCTGCAGCAGATTACTTATTAGAACAAGACTGGTGCTTAGCCATTGAGGACTCAGTAGCCAGAATTCTACCAGGCAATCCTAAACATCCAATATACACACAATGAACCTCTTCTTTCTACAAAATCACTGGTTTACCCTTAAACACGAACGCAAAAGACTTAAGCCCTTTGGTAACACACTTGAAGGGACGTACGTGTACTTTCACTCAAACCTCACGTTCATCTTTTTTCAAGAACGCTTTTATATACGTCCACCCAAACGATATTAAAAAAGATTATACCACTATTACGGGTACAAAATTTGGTGAACACACAATCTTCATTTTTCCACACACCAACACCAAAAAAACATGCAATGCATGTGGTAACCACACACACGAATATAAAAACTGCACCAGTACTGATTTCGTCTTAGACAAAAATGAACGCAAAATATTCAAAAGACGTTTCATCACACGTAACAAAGATCGTATACTCGTCAATGAAACAACCAGACAAACTTACAACCATGTTATAAGACTCTCCAAAGATAATCCTGGTAACTCGAACGGACGATCTCGTCCCCATCCGAACACACGAGGCAAACAAAAACAAACATATAACAACACTACGCCTCACCCAGATAGGACATATCAGAGACCTACGTCGTCCTGGTCCCAACAACAACTGCCCCAAGAAATCCTAGATAAAATTGCACTTATGGAACAACAAATTACTACCTTAACAAATCACGTTAACGTATTACAGGGTTCCCACCAAACGTTCACAGAGCAATACTCCTCGCACCACCAACAACTAACCACAATTGACACTAACATAGCGTTGCTTACACATAGACAAGATAGTCTTGAAAATCAACATAAAACCTTAATGACCCAGATGCAAACGCTCATTAACACTCTACAAGCATCACAAACCCCACCCACCCGACAACAACCAGCTAGGAAAGCCAAACGTACTAGTACCCCATATGAAAAGACCCCTTTGAAGGATGTTAAAAAACGATTCATCCAACCATCTACTGAATCGGTTATGACTGATAGTGATGCACTCCCACTGTCAGATGAATATTACACGGAATCTGGAGATATCTCCGATACAGGCACCATTGAAAATACATATGAAGCACCCGAACAAGATATTTCAGGACAATCGAGCTTCATCCTCAACCCATTTAACTGGGGCAATAAACCTCAGGTTTAATTTGCGACTCATTCTTTATAATCATAAAGAATTTAGATATCACATTTTGATTCCCCTTTTTTGTCTTTATCCCAAATTCTGGTTTATATACATTCCAATTTCAAACATATTTCAAATAATGTCACACACCAACCTAAATATATCTGATCCCTTTCCTAATATTTCACACTCCTTGTCACAAAATCCCGATCACTTGATTAACGAAGAACATACTACAAACTTACATGTGATCAATCAAGATAACATCAATGATAATAATTTTTTTATTGATTATATTAAAATAGGCAGTATTAATATCCAAACAGCCTTTAACAACAAACTTAACGACATTATTAATTATTTTGTCGCACACAATTTTGATATCCTTGGTTTAGCGGAAACTAGTCTCTTTGGAGATCAATCAAATACCATTATCAATAAACACAAACATCCTACTTTACCCAATAATTTTATATATATAGTTCACGACACCTCCGGCGCTAATAAAGGCACTGGAGTTGCCATCATGATTACCGACAAAATGGAAAAACATCTTCATCATACAGAATTTTTCGCAGGACGTATCATCAATCTTATCTTCGGTTTTAAGAAATCAAAACAACTGAACGTAACTTGTTGCTACTTACCATCCAGTCCTAAGAATGATGCCATCAAAACCACAATCAGCGCTTCTTGCGTCGAAAAATTGAGTAATCTAATTATTAAATCCAACAACACCAACAATTCATACGCCATTGTTATTGGCGATTTTAATGTAACCACAAAGAATAAATCAGACCCGAATTATCCCTCTATCCGTTTACTTAAAAATAACGGATATAAAGATATGATTAAATACCATCAAATGTCCTTAGATAATAACTCCACCCATAGTACAAATAGAATTGATTATCATTATGGAAATACGAATTTATTAGAACAATCAATTCATTCATATACACAATCAATACCACAATCTTTTTTTAATACTGACCACAATATCGTTATAACCCTTTTAGAAAAAACTTTCTTTGATTCAAGAAAAAAGCATTTATTTGAAAAGTTCGCGGACGTCCTTCCTTTTAATAAGCGGAATGACGAAACCAAGAAAATCTTCAAATACGATCAAATGACTGTTAAATTATGGTCTGATTACACTAATCGTAGCCGCTCAACTTTCAACAACAGATTCTCAAAAGAATCCCAACAAATTAATAATAAAAATACTTTAAACCGACAATGGAATCTCTTTGAGAAGTCCTTAATCGAACTTAAAGAGTATATCATACCACAAAAATCTATTAATTCTAATACATCATCAAACCTAGATTTGCCTCTTGAATTACGACAAATGAATAATCACGTGATTCTCTTATACCAAGTGAAACAATTTTTGAATTTAAAACATATTAAAATTCGTTTTAAATTAAATTTCACACCCACAATTTCAACCCTCCACAACATTCCACGACATGTATGGATTACCTATTACGAAGGATGGATGAAATACTTCCCTCGTTTAAAGATTTTATTAGATTTTAATAAATTATCAATTAATTTACCATTAACGGTTACTCCTGATAATTTTGTATCAACAAAGGATGAAATTTATCGACTATACCATACGATGAAAATAGCTTATCAATCTGCGTACGACAAATACCTTACCAACAAAATTAATTCTTATGTCACAGAACGCAATGACAACTTACAACACGATCAAACTAAAATGATCAATTCTATTTTAAATCGTAAACCTCGTCGTATAGTGTTGGATAGACTTTCTTTTATTGACAACAAAGGTGAACATGTATTCACTAATAACCCAGAGATTATAGAAAAACAAGCCATCAAACATTTCCAACATCAAGCGGGACCACCAAATGATAAAAATATTTGGAATTTAGACTCCCTACCACAAGATTGGAAAGATCATTATGATCCTGCTTTACAAAATATTAATGAAGAATGGTGGAATCATTTAATCGAACCTATCACTCTATCGGACCTTTCCTCCATTTTCAAAAAGTTGAATAACAACAAAGCGCCAGGTCCTTCCAAAATCACATACGAAGATATCACACATTTACACGAGGACGTTTTAATAATCCTCGTCAGAATCTTCAACGCTTGTATTGTACTTAAAGCGATTCCGGATAAATGGAAACACGCGTTGCTTTTTCCGATACCGAAACCACATGATTGGAATAGTAAACTAACTAATACAAGGCCTATTACTCTTCTGGAAACTCCTAGGAAATTATTAGTCAATATTATTTCGACTAGATTAAATCAAGCCCTTTCTAAACACCCAATTTTACAATTCAACAATAAAGCGGGCGTTCTGGGCCAATCAACCTTAGAGCCGCTTATGATCACACAACATTTAATAGAACATGCGCGCATTAAGAAAAAACCCATTTGGATCGTATTACAAGATTTATCAAAAGCATACGATCGCGTCGACCTACGATTATTGAAATTAGCGCTTGAACGCTTAAAGATTCCTGCTATTATTATTACCTTTTTTCTTAATTTATTTACAGATAGACATAATGAAATCATAACCACGAATGGTTTACTGCCATCTTATGCAGTTCTCCAAGGCATTGACCAAGGCGAAGTTGTTTCACCACTTCTCTGGAATATATACTATGACCCGATGTTTCATCGCATCAATCAATTAACACATTTACATTACTCCACCTTTGCGACACAGAAGAAAAATTGTCAACACATAGAGAATGATGTCATTCATACCTTTGACATCTCCGTAGTAGGTTATCTTGACGACACTACGTGGTTTGGCTCTTCACAATTGCAAATCGAAGAAAAATTATCAATTGCCAATTCCTTTTATGATCTCAACAACATTAAAGTTAATATGGATAAATACAAAATTTTAACTAATGACCGTACCATCAAACAACCGCACATTACCCTCACAATTAACAATCGACCATACGAAACGCCTGTCACGCCTCGTAACAAAGGCGAACGCATTTTAGGTCTATACATCAATGCATTAGATAAACATACACAAACGATACGCAAAGGCAAACAAATAGTGATGGCTCACTACAACACTATGAAAAACAAAAAACTAACCCATCACCATATACAATATATTATTAACAAAATAGTTATACCAAAATTGGAATATATTTTCCAACATACGATCCTTAATTCGCAACAATGTCAATCTTTAATGGGACCATTGAAAAGACTATTCAAACAACGTTTGAATCTTCCGTCAAATACGGCGGATAATATTATTTATAACCATATGTTCCAATCTATTAATAATTTTTTTGATATCCAAATGAAATCACAACTTAATATTTTAGGTGCACTTTTTAATACACCGGTACTTCGAGAAATAGCGACTCAGAAAATATATAACACGCTATCGGAAATCTGGTATCCTACTATTCCGTCCAACATTAATACCTATTTGGACCATATAGTCAAGCCTACCTATTTAACGCAAGCTTTAGGCTTGCTTAATCAATATGGATTTTCAATTAATTACACTTTTGATATCAACATTTTAGGAGGAAACACCCCTATACGAGATTATATGTCAGATCTTTCTGCTGCTGACATTAAATCTCTTAAAGCCAAGAACATTATTTACATGGATCAAGTCGTTTCATCAGACGGGAATTATTTACTCTCGTGGCATGATGTTAAAAGAAATAATAACAACAATTATAGTGGTCCAATCCCGGCGTGGTACAAAAATTTGACCGACAATTACGTACTTAGTAATAACTTACGCCTGATCCACCCTCTTAACGATGTTGTATGCGACATTAATAGAACACATAAATCCCCTTCAACTTTACCAGATGTTACAACACCTAAATCACAATGGACGATACATTGGAATAATGTACAAAAACAAGTTATTTTTGGAAAGACCTTAACACAGGAAACAGATCGTTCAACTTCAATTTCTTATTTACAACATTTTATACCCCAACAAACCCATCATAATAATAGTTTAACACCTAAAAAACAATTACTTGGACTTGTTGCGTGCAAGGGTTGCCTTCTACACTCTTACTATCCACACGACGCTCGTCCGACATGCGTTATTGCAATTAGAACACAAAAATTATTATTATTTAATATTTTTAAAAAATCTTCTTTTGAACATAAATCACTTTTAGAGTTTTATAACTGTCAGAGTTTCGTAGTAGCTACGAAACCGTTTCACACGCTTCGGCATATTGCATATGAACATTTTATTAAAATAGATAAATCCCCTTTGAACATTTCTTCACAACGTTCTTTAGACGCTGTTTTGACACCTTTTCCTTCTTTACCTTTGAATAATATAGATAATCATATTGATTACGCTTTAATTTGTCACCCAGACCTTAAAGTAGAATTAAAGTCTTGTGCAAAACAATTAGCCTTAGAAAATTTATTAACTTTTTATACAGATGGTTCTGTCCAACGTATAGGCACAATTCATAGTATTAGTGGATATGGATGGACTCAAGTTCAACCCCTCACGCCGCGAGTCAATTTCAGTGGATCAACAGTTTTTTTCCCATCGTCTTCTAAAAGTGAAAGTATGGGTATACTCACGGCCCTTATTGTATCTCCTTTCAATTGTAAAATCAACATTTATACCGATTCAGCCAACTGTATTACCATTTTTAACACGCGTATGCAATCAGGTGTCGCTAGTCCGCGACAAAAATTGAAACAATCAAATTTTTTAATATGGGATTTAATTTTTTTCTTAATTGAAGAAAAGCAACTTTTAGTCACTTTGCATAAAGTCTCTGGTCATAGTAACAATCCTTATAATGATGATGCAGATTTACTAGCAAAAGCTGGTGCTCATTTTGTTGAGCCTATTATTGTTAATCACAAATTTTTTGTCAAACAAAGTTTAGGTTTCATTTCTTGGAATCGTTTACACGTTGTGGACCGCAACGTTAGAAAATGGGCGGATAATGTCATCCAACCTCTCATATTCAATTCGATGGTCAATAACAAAGCTTTATCTCCGATTAAACAACAAATTATTGATGGTGATATTGATTGGTCTTTCACCAAAGAATGGTTAAATTCTAACGATCAGGACGTTCCGTGTAGTGCCAAGCTCTCTAAACGACAAGGAAATAGAATTAAAAAATGTAATTTTATATATCCAACAATCGATATACAACAACGCAATTACCCTCGTTTATACCCTCTAGGCAGCATACCTTGCATTGAATGCACTAGTGCCCGCGATGATAATACGCACGTGGGCTTATGCAAGGAACATTCAATTCATATCAAAAATATATTAATGCGAGCTGCTCATGATTTACATGAATTTATTATTGAGAATACGAAGGAAGGAAATTATACTTTGAAAGATACCATTATGAATCTTCCCCTTTTTAATAACTCTTTTGTGGACGTTTTACCACAATCACATCCTGGTTATTTACTTATACACCATTTGGTCCCGAGTGACCTTGTTAAAATTTTTAATATTTATATTAATGATAAAAAATTACGGTTTTCTTTATTTTTAAAATTTTTTTCGACTTTAATGTCTTCAATTGATACAATTATTTGGACACGTCGTGCTTCCTTAGTTAAACATTGGGAACATACTTTATCTATTACAAAAAACAAAAAAAGATTTTATAGAAAACGACATAAGAAAAGAGCTCCTCCTTCTCCTGATCCAGGTGCTCCTGTTCACAATTCACCTCCACGTCGACATTATAATCCTCAGCATCTCACCACTACTCCTTATTATAGGGACGGTGGTTTTAATGATAATCTCGCCCATATTCGTTGGACGACAAGTAATTATTTACATTCGGGACATTGGACTACTTATAGAGATAATATGGGGTTCAATAATATAGATTTATTTTTAACTTTACAAAATAGTTTTCTTAAAAATGTTTTTGATATTATATAGTTTATTTTTGTTTTATCTTTACTTTTTTCTTTTTTTTTTTTCTTATATATATATTAAGGCGGGTGTTCCTGGGAAAGTTCGTGGTTCTGACTCGCGTTCACCTATTCCATAAAGAACAGAAAGCGTCACGCCTTGGGGTGGCTTGCTTCGTAGTGATAGTATTATATATAGACTTTTTAGGTTCTCTGTATAATTGAATCTACGGGTTTGATTTTCTGTTTTCTAAAAATAAAAATAAAAAAAAATGCAGCCAAATAGGATCTTTGATATTTTTGACGCATTACGTCATAGAGATTATTATCACACATTTACTATGTGATCTTGGACGTCTGCATAATAACTATTATATATTATTTATAACAAAAACTGCGGCGAATATATCATATTGTAGAAGTAATTTTTTTAAAAAAAATAAATTGATGATTTTAGATTCGGGAATTAAATAATCAAATATTATCAAATTAAAAATTTTAAATTATTACAAACTATCAAATCATTTGAACAAGTGTTACTTTAAAAAAAAAATCTTAATATTTTTTATTATAATAATTAAAATTGCCACTTTCTGCCCATCGTTTTTTCGTTAAGGCATAAACTTTAGTAATTACGCGCCCAGTAAATAGTTATTGTATAAATTTATACCAAACGGGCTCATTGGCTCGAAATTAGCTCAAATTTATGCAAAAAGTAATCCAAATTTAAGCCGATCTAAAGCCAATTATATATGGATGAGCCCATTTGGTACAAATTTATACAAAAACTATTTACTGGGGCGAATTTTTATTGATCAGTTGATTTGTTTGATTTAACGGAGTGTACAAATTCTACAAATTCGTAATTATAAAACTGAATCAACACCAATTAGAATGGGCCACGAATTTAATATAAATTATATAAATTATATATTTATATAATATTATATTTTTTTATATATATGATATTCTAGAATCATAAAACTTCATTTATAAATTAAATTAAATTAAATTAAATTAAATTAAAATTTCAACGATTTAATAAAAGGTGATATTTTATCATTTCACTACGTTAAAACGGATTTAATTTCTGCACGTGATTGTTAATAAAGATGTCAAGAATAGAACAAGTTTATTTATCATTTTTTTCGTGTATAAAAATATCTTTTTATTAAACCATTTTTTTTTTCTTTTTTTAAAAAAATATGTCGAGTTACGACTTGGAAATTTCCTCTGGTGGTTTTTTTTTTACATGTAGTATTACGATAAACGGAATTTCTTAACTTTAGTTCTCCGCATGACTTTTTTAAAAAAAAAATGTTAACTTTGTGACTTTACCCACTATAGGTCTATCACACAAAACTTTAAATAAAATTTGTTTACTTAGTGACTTTTCCATTGTGTTTCTAAACTGCGCCACATGCGTGTGTAAAGTTTTATATAAATATTTATTTTATTCCGCCTTTTTACCATGGTATAACTGCTTTATGCATAAATATATCATAAGTATAAATCTCAGACTATTTTAAATCTCTATATGTATTTAAACAATTTCTTTAACTAAGTATTATTAATATTGTTCGGATCCTGAACCAATCAAATAATAACGAATTTACTACTTTTCAAAGCGCCTTGCCTACCAACATGCAAGATTATTTGTCTTGAAAGAAACGAATGGCATTCAGATTACCAACTTTCATGTTATTAGTAGAGTAACCGATTATTGTTGAAATTTGCTGCGCATTCAGAAAAACTTGAGTATCATAAATTGGCATCTCAAGAACGAAATTATTAAAAAACGGGTTCGTAAAACGTTTCATGATTTTAATCTCATGAAATAAAATATTTTCAAAAAATTTTTCTCAAGAAAAATTTTTTTTTTTAAACAATAAGAGTGTAATAACATACTGCGGAGAGCATAATTTCCGACGATCACAAATCGGAAATTTTCGGACAAAAAATTAAAAAAAAAATGGTGATTTCTAATCTAAATAAGGTTAGTTTTATGAATATAAATATATTTATGAATTGGAATACGACCTATCGAGTTTTACTTTAGAATATCTACAAAAACTTGTTGCTATTAGCAAATCTTTCTTTTGCTATTTTTATTTGTGTAACTAACAATTTATCGTTAGTATTATATTTTCGTTTCAAATTTATTTTTTTAGTTATTATCGCCAAAAAAAGTATATGTTACCCAAAATTAATATTTTTAAAGAAAATTTATAATACTAATAGTAGCTAAAAAATCATGAGAAATTTGTGATGGTTACGGTACATTTCACCGAAAGCCATTTCGCCGAAAGGACGTTTCTCCGAAAAATAGGGCCAACATTATGCAGAATTATAAATAACTCAGGCCAGAGATTATTTTTCGGCGAAATGGCTTTTGGCGAAATGTCCCGATACCAATTTGGGTTTGTGAGAAGTAGAAAATTTTATTAAAAATTGAAGGACATATACATTAACAATTGCGAAATAATCTAGTCTTGCTTATTTTCATAACGTAAAATTTTTATCATAGTATCTTGAATAATTTCTTAATAAATCTTAATTCATAAATTTGTGCTTGTGATAAATTATTAGAAGATATTTTTGCTAATTGTCCGAGAGTCGATTTTGCCTTGATAAACGTAATTATGTAGGTTTTCTAAAGATGATGTATTCTAATTCCTTGTTCAAAGTAAATTTTGCATTGAAGATAGAGAATGAATTAACCTTATTCTGTTTTATGGGATTTTCATGAAAATTGTCAATAACCTCTTCTATTTTATTGCAGTCGTTCGTTTCCTTACAATATGGACAAAGTCTTTGAGGTTTTCTAATAGTTCTCATGTTACTTAAATTGATTTTTTGAATATTTGGAGTTCTTTGTTCGTGATCATTTTTTGATGACATTATAAAACGATTATAAAAATAGCGATAAATTGTTGATTACCCAAGTCAAAATAGCGAAAAAACTAATGTCTTAAAAAGTCGTTTAAATAGAATACAACGAAAAAAGACGCTTATATGAGAAGTAAAAAGTAAAATCAAAAAAAAGAATTGAAATTTTCGACGAGATTTTGCAAAGGTTATCCGAATGCAAATGAGAAAGAATAGTAAAGTTCGTATTTCACTTTTCAGTTAGATGATCTAGAAGAATTAGGTTGTAAAATTGTGTAGTAATAGCAACAAGTTTTTGTAAATTTTCTAAAGTAAAATTCGATAGGTCGTATTCCAATTCACATGGAACATTATTTAGGGTAAATTTTGCGTTAAATTTAGAAGCTTGTTGGATTGCTTCTTTTGAAGGTTTTACAATTTCTTCAATCTTATTTTACTTTGTTAGAAATTACTAATTTAACAGTTTTTTCAGAATTATAACAGAGTTTCGGCTATTATCAAGATTTATTTTGAATGTACGTATTTTTATATGTTGTACGTCAGATTAGAATAGGCGTAAATTTAAAATTGACTTACATCAGATTGAAATTTGAGTCTGATGTGCGTCAAATCAATTTATTATTTGTGTCAAATTGAAATGCATAAAAAAATGTAATCATCATATAATCATTATAAAATAGCCTATTTGGATTATTAATAAATAAGAAAATTGTAGTATTAAGTAATTAACCATTTTCTTATTTTTTTTTCATGTTAAATCTAAAATTATGGAGTATTCATTTATTTCGCGTCAAACTTTGATAATTTGGTTAAGCAATATATTGAAAACTTAGCATCAATTAAGAAAGAAAAAGCTTTGATTAACCAGGGAAAACTACAAAAAACAAAGGAAGTTCTTCTTAAACCTACAAATACTACATTATATATTGTACTTCATACTCAGATACAAAATAAAAAAAAAATGATGAAAAAACTAAAGTTGAACTTCCTGTATTAGTTGTAGAAAATATGTATGATGAATTTTGCAAAATACATTCCACAATTACTCAGCATGGGGGTCAAAAAGAAACTTGGAATCAAATCAGTAGTAAATGGGGATATTGTCGACAAGATCTTGTGTCACAGTGTAATGTTTGTGCAGCGAGACTTACACGGATTCGACCATTGGCTGGAATACCAATTATAGAACAAAAATTCATGTCACGTTTGCAGGGCTGCACGAAAAATCAGAGTTCTACAGTGCATACAACCTAGTCCCAACAAAAAAATTTTTAAGCGGCCAAATTTTTTACATTATGTAATACTAATCCTGTAATTTTATTGGTCAAATTTATTTAATTTAAGTAATAATTCTTAATTCTAGCCAAATTTACATAGTTAATAATTAAACAAAAGTAATTTTGGCCAGACTTACATGTAATTCTGGTCAGAATAAAACGGCCAAATATTTAATTTAATAGTAAAATATTTCAACTTTGAATTGCTACTACTTTATTAAAAAATACTTTACAGGAAATTTAAAAACATAGTTTTATTAAGCTAAATCTGGTTTATCATTGTAAGTTTATACTTTATGTTTATCTTTTTTTTTGAATGAATAGTAGTGATTTAAATTTCATCAAATTTAATTGCTGGGACTAAGTTGTATGCACTGTAGTACTGGTATGCTTACAGGAAGTATGTGCAAGTGCAAAAGCAACTGCAATACAAATAAATGCCACTGTAAACAATCTGGTGCTAGATGTGGAAGTAAATGTCATAGTGGAAAATCATGCAATATCAAAACTCAAAATTAATAATATGTACCAGATAAATTTATTATATTACTTTAGAATTTACATATAATTACAAAGATTTTTAAAATTGCTAATATTATAAATTTTAAAGTATGTATTTTAATTTGCATTTCAATTTGACACACAAATGATAAATTAGATATTCTCAAGTAATGAAATGATTTACGTAAATATTTTCATACCCTATTTATAGAAAAACAAAGTTACTAAAAAACGCGTTTTATATTGTGTAGCTTTTGTTGAAAATTTGTATCACGCGACATTACACCAGTAAGGCAAATGTATCGTTCTTATACGTGTACGACATACTATCTTATACGACCTATATTATGTGACATATACGTCGTATAAGAACATAGCACCTGATCGTATAAGAACGATACATTTGCACCAGGAAGTATGACAGCAGAGGAATTGTTATTTGAGATAAAATTAGGTGATTTGTGTTGATTTGTGTTTTCTCGTGTTACTAAAGAATAGTAATATTTGTTTGCAAGAATAATTATCTGAATTTTTATATTGTTTTAAATAAAATTTTTATTTTTTTAAAAAAAATGTGTTAAGTATAGTATGATCATTTTAATAATTATATAAAAAGATATAAAGGAACTTGTGTTTTTTGTTCTACAAAAAAAAAAAAATTTTCCTTGTAAACTTTCTATCGATGCTCAATAAAAATTTTGTTACATGAAGAGATACATAATATTATGATAAATCAAATATCTTGCGGATTTTTCCATAATGTTTAATAGTAATCATATTGTTCTTGTGACTTTGATTTTATAAAGCTTAACATTTAACAGAGGATCTTCTCGATTATTAAACTCGAAACGGAAAAATTATCGTAGTACTTACTGTAAAAATGATGTGATTTTATACGCTGAAATTTTTTGATATACGCGTATATATAATGGAAAAAGTTTATTACTAGCTATCTCAACAACCATTTTAATAAATGAATACGATATGTATGTGATTATGGAAGTTCTGATCTTATTATTTTTAAAAAAAATAAAAATAAAATAATTAAATAATAAAATAAAATAAATAAAATATAAAAATAAAAATAAAATAAACATATAAATAAATAAATAATAATAATTACATATTATTGTATACCACTTGATAATAGGATAAAATGGCTGCGCCATTTTATCCTAGTATTGTTAAGTATATCACATACAATAATTATATTATCGTTTAGCCTTTTTTGGTTCATATTGAGAGTTAAAAAAGTTATTAGTTTTAAAAAAAATTATATGTAAAAGTTTTAAAAAATTTATTATATAAAAGTTTAAAAAGTTTATATTAATGTATAAATAAGTTATTTTAAGTGTTTTTTATTCTACTTACTTAAATTATCGTATGATCATATATGGATTATTGTATGTCTGCATAAAATAAATGGATACATAGGATGTTCAATATGAACCTATGTGGCTAAATGATAATAATAATAATTGTACCGGTCATTTTAAAACAGTCATACAATTATTTCGAAACGAAATTTTTTATGATAATTAAAACGATAAACGAAAATCACTAAAACATGATTTGTTTTCATTTTTTTTATTACCGTATTTTGCTGTTAGTAAGCACCCACAAAAATAAGCACCCTGGCCGGAATTATCGTCATTTTGGCCAGAATTATGAGGATCTTGGCCGGCATTAAGTGCAAAAATGGGATGCTTATATACCTTATATACCGCAAAATACGGTATTTTTAATTAGGAAAAATCTATTTGTAACTATTCTATAGTAAGGTTAGTATTTGGGTTAGCCCTATAAAAAATTTTTATCCAAATATTTCCATTATTTCTCCGTGTCTTCCGTAAAAATTCCGTGAAAATGATACATTCACGGAAAAACATGGAAAGATAAAACACGGATCAGATTTTTGGGTAGGGTTAAGATTAGGGTTATCAGTTATCTGTTATTTTTTAATGGATTAGTTAATTAAACTCAAAGGTCCAAATAACTATGGTGATAAATAATTATAGTAATGAATAGTAGAACCCTTAATCCTTTTAATTATTAATAATAATTTTGTGCACTAGTTTTGTCTAATGTGATATAATATAACTGATGTATATAATATAAATATATAATATATGTGTATAATCACTGTAATGTACATATTGTTTGTTAACATGCATGAGTAATGAAAGTGTAGCCATACGTACATCTACATCAAATAAACCTAATCTGGGGGCGGTTACTGTATATTGATTCTGGGGTCCGATTAATCATCATCTGATTTGTACCGTAATCATTTGTAATCATCCGGAACTATGACTTCATGGAATCCGAGCTAATTTCACATCGGATCAAATGTATAACCATCTGGGCATATAGTAATGATCGGCATATATATAACAATTAAAAAAAATAAATTGATGATTTTAGATTCGGGAATCAAATAATCAAATATTATCAAAATGTTTATTAAATTAAAAATTTTAAATTACAAACCATAAAATCATTTGAAACAAGTGTTACTTTTAAAAATTGTCACTTTGGCTGGTAACCAAGTTATTAAACCTGTCCATCGTTTTTTCGTTGAGGCATAAACTTTATTAATTTTTATTGATTCGGTTGATTTGTTTGATTTAGCGGAGTGTACAAATTCGTAATTATAAACTGAATCAACACCAATTAGTATGGGCCACGAATTCAATATAAATTATATAAATTATATGTTTATATAATATTATATTTTTTATATATACGATTATTTTAAAATCATAAAGGTGTTATTTTATCATTTCACTACGCTAGAACGGGATTTAATTTCTGCACGTGGTTATTAATAAAAATGTCAAGAATAGAACAAATTTATTTATTATTATTTTTTTCGTGTATAAAAATATCTTACATGTAGTGTTACGATAATCGAAAACGGAATTTCTAACCGCATGGACGTTTTTTTTTAAAAAAAAATCAACTTTGTGACTTTATTCACTACAAGTCTATCACACAAAACTTTAAATAATATGCTTCTATACTGCGCCACATGCGTGTGGCATTATATGTATCATGTTTTGAACTAGTATCACGGCATTCAAAAAAAACTTGGAGAACCACATACAGCTCCAATTTAAATCGATATATCCACCTATGTAAATGTAAAAAGCGTAGAAATATTTTTCTTTTTTACTTATTTTACGACACATCACACTTATTTTCTTTATTACTAGAAGAACACAATCAAACGCAAACAAAAAATTGTAAGATATATCCCAAGAATGCAAAACATTTATGTATGAAAATTTCAACCTCTTTTTTGTAAGATTTAAAATTAAGCCAAAAATTTTTCTTAATATGTCGAAAGTTCGATTATTATTAATTATAAAAAAATTATTCGGATACTAAAAAAATTTTTTATCGAAAAATTTTTTCATTTTTACTTCTTTTTTTCTTTTTTTTGGGGGAGGGCAAGGTACTTTTCAAAGTAACTGAGAACTAGAAGTAAACCTCAAAAACTTTGTCCAGACTGTAAGGAAACGAACGACTGCGATAAAATAGAAGAGGTTATTAACAGTTTTCATGAAAATCCCATAAAGCAGAATAAGGTTAATTCATTTTCTATCTTTAATGCAAAATTTACTTTAAACAACGAATTAGGACACATTTTTAGAAAACCTACATAATTAATTCAAAATATCCGTCTTCTAAGTATCGTAACAATCACTATCGATATTTACATTATCAAGTCAAAATCGACTCTCGAGTAATTAACAAAAATATTTCAAATAATTAATTTATCACAAGCACAAATTTTATGAATTAAGATTTAATAAGAAATTATTTAAGATACTATGATAAAAATTTTATGTTATGAAAATAAGCAAGACAAGATTATTTCGAAATTGTTAATGTACTATATGTCCTCCAATTTTTTTTTTCAATCGCTTTAAATAAAATTTTCTACTTCTCACAAATTTTGTAAACCTTTTACAATAAACTTTTTATTTTTATTTCACAGAGTAAATAATATCATCTTGTATAATGATAGTACTTTTAGACTTCTTTGATCGCTGTTAAACTTCATTCCTTTTTGTATTGTTTTATTTCGTTTAGCTTTTACTGAAGCAGCAAGCAACTTAAAGTCTTTATTTATTTTTATATTCAATATTTAATTTTATTCTATCAATTTAATCTTTAATAGGAGGGTTTGATACAGTATTTCTTTTTTTTAACATTTTTAGCTACTATTAGTATTATAAATTTTCTTTAAAAATATACACAAAATATTAACATATACTTTTTTTGGCGGTAATAACTAAAAAATAAATTTGAACCAGAAATATAATACTAACGATAAAATGTTAGTTACAGCAAAAGAAAGATTTGCTAATAGCAACAAGTTTTTGTAGATATTCTAAAGATAAACTCGATAGGTCGTATTCCAATTCATAAATATACTTATATCCATAAAATTAACCTTATTTAGAAATCATCATTTTTTTAATTCATTCTTTTCGTATAAATAAAAAAAAATTACAAAAAAAATGGTAATTGTTTCCTATCACTTTCTTTTTTTGAAAAAATAAGTTCGTCTCAGTTTTTATTAAAAAAAATTCAAATTATAATTAAATTTGTAAGTCATGATGATTTAATAATTTTAACTTTAAAAAGATAAAATTAAGTAGTAAATTCATTATTATTTGATTGGTTCAGGATCCGAACAATATTAATCATACTGTACTTAGATAAAGAATTGAGATTTAAAATAGTCAGAGATTTCAATAAGGATTTTAAAGATATGTAGTGTTCATTTTTCATATGGACTTCAATTATCAAAAAGACTATCAATAGATTCTATTTGATTTCAATTTTATTCAATTTTATTAGCAACATATCTAAATTTTGAATATAATAATGATTGATATGATATATTTGTGCATCGACCAGTTATATCATGGCAATAAGGCCGATCTACGGAATCACGACATTTTCAAATATTCAAATATTTATATGACCTATAAGGGACTCAGTAATTGGATGAATACATTCAAATTAACCAATCTGGAATTTTTTTTTAATCTAAACAATCTAAACGAACTCAAAAAAAAAATTATTCTAACTAGTTTGCTGGGAATAAATAAAAATCTACTATGCAATATATAATTATATGCAGTATAATATTTATACCGCCGCAAATTTTAAAAAACATAATAATAAACAACATATATATCACAACAATGTGTAAGTTTTTATATGTGCACACTTGCTTTTTTTTTATTGTAAATTATAATTAATTTAAACCCTTAATCAAAAAATTCACATAATTTCTTAATACAAATGATGTTTCGATTTATGAAAATTTTTTGTTCGCGTGAAACTTAACTCAATCGAATCAAATATAAACGATAAAAGCATAATTTTAAAATTGGAAAATTATAATTCTTATATCGAAAGTGTTTAGGTTGGGAAAAAATCATTTTTTAAATTTAATTATTCGAAATATGTTAATTCTTTTTGCTAGAAGAATGATCATTTTTATTGTTGTGTTGCAATTTTGAGTTGTAAATCAGCCAATTTTTGTAAACTTTCTAATGTGAAACATTTTCTAATTCACAAAGAGCGCTATTCTTTTTATTGTTGAAATTTTGGGTTGTAAAATCAGCCAATTTTTGTAAACTTTCTAATGTGAAACATGATAAATCGTATTCTAATTCACAAGGAACGCTATTCAAAGTGAATTTTGCACGGAATACAGAAATTTTATTGGTCTTCTTAGGAGGATTTTTATGAAAATTGCCAACGATTCCTTCTAATCTATTTGTTTTATTTAAAAATAATTTAACGCAATCGTTCGTTTCCTTACAATTCTGACAATGTTTTGGTGGCTTTTTCTTTATTCTTTTACCACCTGAGTCGATTCGAATTTTCTGATATACATTAACAATTTCGAAATAATCTATTCATGCTTATTTTCATAACGTAAAATTTTTACATAGTATCTTAACCAATTTCTTAATTATATCTTAATTCATAAAATTTGTGCTTGTGATAAATTATTTGAAAATATTTTTGCTAATTGTCCGAGAGTCGATTTTGCCTTGATAAATGTAAATATTAACAGTAATTATTACGATACTTAGAAGATAAATATTTTTGATTTAATTACGTAGGTTTCTAAAGATGTATTCTAATTCCTTGTTTAAAGTAAATTTTGCATTGAAGATGGAAAATTGATTAACTTTATTCTGTTTTATGGGATTTTCATGAAAATTGTCAATAACCTTTTCTATTTTATTGCAGTCGTTCATTTCCTTAGTACAATCTGGACAAAGTTTTTGAGGTTTACTTCTAGATCTCATGTTACTTAAATTGATTCTTTGAACATATGGAGTTCTTTGTTCGTGATCATTTTTTGATGACATTGTAAAACGATTATCTATAATACTAACGATAAATTGTTGGTTATCCAAATCAAAAATAGCGAAAAAACTAAAAAAGTTGTTTAAATAGCCAGAATACAACGAAAAAGTGGTTTAAATGATAAATAAACCGAAGTAAAAAAAAGTAAATCAAAAAAATAAATTTTTGATGAGATTTTGCAAAGATTATTCGAATGCAAATGAGAAAGAATAGTAAAGTTTCGTATTTCACTTTACAGTTAGATGATTCAAAAAAATCTTCGCTTGAGGGAGAATTAGGGTTGTAAAATTGTGTAGTAATAGCAACAAGTTTTTGTAGATTTTCTAAAGTAAAATTCGATAGGTCGTATTCCAATTCACATGGAACATCTTTTAGGGTAAATTATGCGTTAAATTTAGAAGCTTGTTGATTACTTCTTTTGAAGGTTTTACAATTTCTTCAATCTCATTTACTTTGTTAGAAACTAATTTAACACAATCAAATGTTTCTTTACAATTATAACAGAGTTTCGGGGTTTTCTCCTGATTCTTTTGCTATTATCAAGATTTATTTTTGAATGTTTATGATATATATATATATATTTATTGATATTTATATTTATATCGACCATGAGACGTTAGATATTGCAAGTAATGAAATAATTTACATATCCTTTTTATAATAAAACAAAGTTACTAAAAGCGCGTTTTATATATTGTGACGTTCGGTGGTTAAATTACTGTACGCCACGTTACACTAATAAGTATATATAAGCAGTCACAAAGTTGACAAGTTAAGAAAATGTAAAAAAACCACTTGCTGTTAGAGAGGAATATGTATGCTGTATGCATAATAATGGCTCAGAGAATATAAATAAGGAGAAGAACTTCGACAAAGTTTAACGTTTCCCACTAGTACTGTTTACTGTTTATAAAATTTGTTCACTTAGTAACTTGTCACATGCGTTTATCGTGCATTATATTCGTCATGTTTTTAACTAATCCACAGCCCCGATATATCCTTCTTTCTTTATTTTTTTTTCACCCATTTTACCACACTAATTTTCTTTATTGTCAAAAGAACACAATCAAAAGCAAACAAAAAAATTGTAAGATATATCCCAAGAATGCAAAACATTCATGTATGAAAATTTCAATCTCTTTTTTGTAAGATTTAAAATTAAGCCAAAAAATTTCTTAATATGAAATTTCGATTATTATTAATTATAAAAAAATTATTCGGATACTAAAAAAAATTTTTATCGAAAATTTTTTTTTCATTTTATTTCTTTTTTTTCGTATTTTTTCTTTCTTTTTTTTTTGAGAGGAGGGCAAGGTGCTTTTTCATAAGTGTAGAAAACAGACAACAGGCAAAATACAAATAAAATTTTTTTTTTATAAAAATTTATTTAAAAATAATTTCTCTTTGAATTTTTTTTATTTAAAAAATAAGATAATGATTTGGTTATTGGAAAAAATAATTTATATACATAATTACAATATAAACTTGATACAACTTTATAGGTGTAGCAGCAAAATATTATATGTAAATATTATATTAATATGCTATAAAAAGTAATAAATCCTATATTATGAATCGATTATCTACTTCTGCTTATACAGTAATGATATTAGTTATTAAAATAGAAACAGATTTTTTAATTCAAATTTCATTGAATGTAGTTGCACATTTTATTATTGATTTAGATCGAGTTGAGCTTAATACTCGAAAAAAGTAAAATCTCCGTAAAAATGAGCCTTTCACAGATTCATTCACGGAAGATGTAAATAATTCGATAAATTCCGTGATATAAAATTATTAATTCCGGAAATATGAGCCTTTTACGGAAAAAAGATGTAATAAAAAAAACGGATTACAACAATAGTATTGTTATCGTTATTAGGTAACTAATATATATTAGTTATTTGATAGGGGGGTTAAAATATCATCCAAACTTCTTCGCAGTTCGGTGATATTCTAACCCCCCTATCAAATCTATCAAATAACTGTGTTATTCTGCAGCCGCAAATGATCATCTTATAAATACAATAAACTATTGATTAAACAACGTCATAATAATTATGCAATAGTAGTTTATTTATAGCTTAAAAAAAATATCAGCATGATGTAAAAAGCATGATCCTATTTGGCTGTAGAATAACAGTTTGATAATGGCTGCAATTAATAATTGTGTTATTTGAGTATATAATAACATATGTATGAACTGTTCTAAAAAACATCAACATATACTTTTTTTGGCAGTAATATAATTTAAATTGTGGGGTAAATCTTAATTTTTCATTAAAATACAAGGATTTTTTCATTGAAATTTATATTAGAATAATTTTCTTCAAAGATATATTTATATTTCTTTTAATTAAATTTCATTGATGGTTAAATTTTATTTATTTGATTATGGCTTTCTAAAGTTTATTTCATATAAATATTATTATGTTGTGATTCCGTCAGATCTCCGTTCCTTGGTTTATGCATAAATATACCATAGGTGTTATATATAGGATCAGGATCCATATGATAGCCTTATTTATAATTGGTCCATATGAAAAATGAACACTACATATCTTTAAAACCCTTAAGATCTCTATATGTATTTAAACAATTTCTTTATCTAAGTATTATTAATATTGTTCGGATTGAACCAATCAATAATAATGAATTTACTTTTCATATTATTGAATTTTTTTTTAAATAAAAACTCCATATTTAGTTTTAAACGTAAAGTAAGTTTTTTTTGTAAAATATGATTATAAATTTTTTTTAAAAAAGCCGATCATTCACAAATCTATTTGTAATAAAATTTATTTATTTCTAAATCTTTATTATCAGTTATAAAATGATGATATCATAAATTTGATATCAGTAATCATAGTATAACAAACTATTATGAACATGACAGATGCCATAAAACGCTTCAAGGATTGAGTGAAATGTACCAAGGATTTACCCGAGGGGGAATGAATGATAATTACTAATATTAAAAAAACGGTGTTTCCTATGTCGTATAAGAAACTAAAAAGTAAATTTTTATTGAATAGTATGTTCTTGTACTACGCAATATTATGCACTACTGTAATTATAACCAGCGATTCAAAAAAGACTTTTAATGAATAAAAAACAGAATTGTATAGAAAAATCAAAGTCATATAATCACAACACGTCAAAAAAAAAAAAGAAATTTGGAATAATAACGCAGTAATATCATAACGTTGTGGATTTCTATGAGACGAACCTTTTAATTCAAAAATAGGTGAAAATTTGAGTTCTTTTCTTTTATTACGAAAGAGAAAGAATAAACTAGGAAAACGGAAACCGTCGAGGGACCGTCGCTTAATAGTTAATATGCTCAATAGTAACAATAATTTACTACAAAAATGTGACAAAAGTGTCACAAAAAATGTGATACAAACATAAAAGGAAATAAGGAAATAAGCAGGGCTAAATTATAGTACAATAAATAGTCCTTCGCTACGCTCCACTAAACGCATATTTACCTAATACGTACAGTCACGGGATATTGCATAAATTTCAACTACCCCAAGAACACCACCAAAAAATTTTCGGTAACGTGACTTTTGTGTACTGATACTAAATATGGCAACTGTATCAATAAAAAAAAATTGCTTTATTTTATAGTAAATTGCATATTATAACAAGTTAACATTAAACATGGCAGGGAGCTATAGTCATAGTATAATTAGAACTGTAATAATTCTGACTTTTTTTTTAATTAAGTTGGTTTATACTACCATACAGTATCATAATTATGATAAATAGTTTTTAAGATTTAAAGAGAATTTCTAAATTTTAACTGGTGGAAAAATTACTGGTAGATCATGTGATTGTGTATTAAATATTCATGTGATTTATTAAGATGATGCAATTTCATTTGGCTCGCTTCGCTCGCCGGGCTTTTCTAGCCAAACCATAACTTTCACTTTATTTGCAAAATTTTTGATTATATTTAACATATCTATAAAAAAAAATGAGAAATTACTCTTAACTAGCTATTAACATAATTTTTTTCTCATTTGGTAAAGGATGATCATTTTCGGTTTATTTTGCTTGTTAATCATTTTTGGCTTAGTTATTTCACTTGTTAATCATTTTAAGGTTAATTATCTTGATTGTTGTTTATTTTTTGGTTTAAAAATAAAAAAATATATATATCAGAATATGTGATTAACTTTAAATAACAATACAGAAAAATTGTTTATTACTTGATAAAGCATTTATTTAATATCATTTTTGGAATTACGGCTCTGGAAAAAAATTTTTCACGATTATATTGTAATAAAACAATTCTACTATCCGATTGTTGATCATTTTTAGTTCTGGAAAATTATGATAACTGAATATCATAATAATAAGACAATGATAATGAAATTTTACCATTTAGTTGTTGTTTATTGTTTTGTTCAAAATAAAAAATTACTTGATATAACATTTATTTAATTTTATCATCCAATTGTTGAGAAAAAAAAAATTTTATGATAACATTATAATAAAACAACAATTTTATTATCTGATTGTTAATCATTTTTAGAATTACTACCCTGAAAAAATTTTCATGATAGCATTATAACTAAAGTTGCCTGCCAAAACTCTACAGGCTATTGTCGAAATGTAGAAACTAAAACCTGTAGAAATGCCAAAATGCCGAAATAGTTTCGACATGTCAAAATTGTCGAAACCTAAAAATATTACGTTTCACGTAATAACTCGGCATCCAATGATCATAGAAAGATGCACCATAGCTCGTTGGAATCGTCTCATAATGACGAGTCGAATGGTGGTTAGATCGTCTTTCTACGATCACTGGATGCCGAGATATTGAGCGAAACGTCAAAAATCAGCATTTTGTATTTTGTGATACTGCGCCATTTGACGTTTCACTTAATAACTCAGCATCCAATGATCGTAGAAAGATGCACCATAGCTCGTTGGAATCGTCTCATAACGACGAGTCGAATGGTGGTTAAATCATCTTTCTACGATCATTGGA